GTAACATCTGAAGTAAGAATTTACGCAATCCTCTTCTTACAAATGAAAAGGAGTTTAACTGCTATGGTCTTACTTGGTCTGGTAATACTACTAGCTTACTTTGGCTAACAGTGGCTTATGTTAGCAAACTTTTAGATAGATGTTGCAGTTTTATGGACTGAGTCAGATTGTTGAGAACTCTTCTCCGTTTGTGCTTTTGTTTGGTTGGTTAAATACTTTGGTTTAGTCACTTTTATCCTGTAATTGCAGCGGCTGCTCTTAAACAAAGGTTACATAGTCTTGCTCTAAAATGTACACTGGATTCATTTCAGAATGACCGCCTCACAAATTTCTCATTATTCACCATGTCAGTGATTAATCCTTTGGTTTTGCTGCATTGCATTTCAGGGATTTTTTTTTAGCTAATGCAAATACAAAACAGTTTAGTCATTCCTCCTTTCAAAGTGTTTTGCATCAATCTACCAGGACAAATATGACATCACTTTAATAATTGTCCTCGAGGCACTGGGGAGCTTTCCTGGCATGACACAAAGAGAGGTTGTTGTGGGCGACTATTACTCACTCCCAGCATGGCAGGTGTGATCACATAACTTTTCCCAACATCCTCTCTGTTTGTCCAGACAGGTCATGCCATGAAGAGAGCAGGACTTGAATAGTAAAATGTTTGCAAGTTTTTGAGTGTGTGATGCAGTTTAAACTTTTTAATAGCTTATACACACTTGTTTACTTGTTAGGAAAGAAACCCAGGATGGGCCTCCATGTTATGCCCTAATTTGGGTGTTTTCTCGTACTTTTTTGGTTGGTTTTTAATGGAAGTATGGGAGTTTTCACTTCTATTTATGCAAGAATGTGTCTCTTTTTACATGCTGCACTGGTTCAATAAACAAATTTTTCTATCGTCCATCATATTTTTACAGCTAAATTAAACTGAAATTTATTGGGATGTAATTATAGGGTTGTTGTGACGTATCTTTCATTTTATGGTAACAAAGAACGATAGATTATTATGTTTTGGCCCTATTGCCATTTGTTCTTGATCTTTAGAGGAATAATTCAGCATTTTGGGAAATACATTAGATGAGAAGATTAATACCATTCTTATGTCTGTACGATATGAAGCCAAAGCCAGCAGCTGTTTAGCTTAGCTTAGCATAAAGACTGGAAATAGAGAGAAACATCTGTGCAAAGGTAATAAAACCCACTTACTGTCTCACTAAGCAACAACTTATACCTCGTTTATTTTATCCACACAAAAACTGAAGTATTAAAGCAACAATTCACCATCTTGGTCGCGAGCTGCTGTCAGACAACCAATGGAAACTGCAGTCAGTTATGGTTTCTGGCCAAGCTCCTCAGCTGCTGGCTGAGCTTCTTATTTAGCCATACAAAGATGAGATTGGTATCGATCTACAACTCATTTTGGCAAGACAGTAAACAAGCGTATGTCTACTTATTCCTTTAAGGGAGATATTCTGACGGAACAGTGTGATTCATATATAAAGTCGGGCCATGTTTAAGGCTTTCTCCTATCAATGAAAAAACAGCACATAGTCTTCCCTCACCATAATGCACATTAACTAAATCAACAACAAAGAACTGACAATATATAGAGTCTTTAGGCCCTTTTGGGGCTTATGTATTATGATACATAACACAAAAAGCAAGTATTATGATTTGGCTAACAGTGTGTCCTAAAAGCCTTTTAGAAAGTTTGAGCATTTCCTTTTTCCGAAGTTAAATCACCCCTGTGTGGTGAGAATGAGAAAAGGACCACCTCAAGATGAGCCTCTCAAACTGGCTTTTTAAACTTCTGTTTTTGGCAGTAAATTAAGTTAATGTGCCTTCACTTATCTGCTTGTGCAATCGATGTGTGAAGACAGTGAATAGATGGGAAGTAAATTTTTCCTGCGAGTGTAAAATTATGAAAACAAGGCTTGTTAAAATGCTGCTTACATATCCATGTATACTTCTCACATGCACAGCACATGTTCTGTTTTAGCCACAGTGGGACATGAATTTCAACTTCTCGCTCTCTCACAACACAACTAATCTCATCAATGCATCCACATCCTATGGAAACAAAACCTACACAGCAGCAGCAAGATGCGGTACCTGTAGGCGAGCGCTGACAGCAGATTATAATTGTGTTGCCTCTACTGTGTCCGAGCTTTCACATCCCATCAAGAGGGATGGCCTAGAAGACACTTATTGCTGGATCACTGCTGCTTCACTGTACGAGCTGTAGCATAGTACACTCTCCCAAATTAGAGGAATGGTCTGTATGAAAATAAGATTTATTAGTCAATGTTAAGTAATCATAAGATAATGATGAAGAAATAAGGGACTATAAAGTAACTACTCAGTATTGTGTATCACTTAACTTGTGGTGGACAAAAACAATTACCATTGTTTAAGTAATTAGTAATTAATGAGTCATTAATGAGTCTTGTGCCCTTCATCAGTAGTTTCAGTTAATCAGGAACCTGAAGGAAGTAGTCAGTATGATTGATAGATAGGTTTTCATGAATAAATCTTTACATAATGATTCATTAATGCAGGATATCTCAGTTTGCAACTGATCATTATCTATTACATAGTCCTAGAGAAGTGCTTTTTAACGATGAATCAATAATGAAGTCTTTCCTGATTAGTTTCTTAATTAAGTAATCATTAGCTACTCCATAAAATGTGATTAGGAGTTACTCATTAACTAATGGTTCACTAGCAGTTAGTTCCTCATTCGTTTCATGGTAACTACTCAAAATTTGTACCTTATTGTAAGCGGTGCCTTTTTCTTGTCAAATCCTGGACACTTTCACCTCTTCGGGCCTTTAAATTAAACAGCCTGAGAAAGATAACTGCTCACAGCTCATGTTTTTGCTGAGGACATAAACCTGTGAACGAGGGGTCGCATGACATCGCTTCATTTTAAGGGGTCACAAGCCAAAAGGTTCGGCAACCCTGCAGTGATGTATCAGGAAGCTTGAAAACGAGCTGAGGAAACAAACTCTACACAGACAGGAACCAGGCACCAACCTCGCCTACCGACACTCTAAAGTTAATTGCTCATTAAGTTCAAATTAATCCAAACATCTCAAGAACCAGCACCTGCAAGATCTACCTTAACTATCTGCACTGCACCTCACAGACTGGATGTTTCTGCATTTACGCACAAGAAGATTAAACACCTTCGCAGCATCTGCACGCTGCACTGATGTCTTGGTTCAATATAAAATTGTCTGACAGACTTGAGAAAGGCTGAACTTGACAAGACCCTAAAGAGGGTTTACCATGTCCTAATTTGATTACAGTGTTTCAAGGAACATCAAAGCAACTGCTGGGAAATGCAGCACATGGGGGCTAAAGCAATCAGATACTGTGTCTACCATACTGTATGTAGCATACCATATTTAGTCAGATTGTTTCATGTGGTTGTTAAGAAACAATATTTATAGATTTGACAGACTGTCTTATTTGAAACTGTAGGTCAGACAGCTGCAGGTTTTCAGCTGTAGCTTTCCTGAATCCTCATTTCGTTGCTACATGAAACAATTCAGTGCAACAATTCAGTCGTAAAAACTGTGACCATTGTTTTGAGAAATTGCTGAGGCAGAAAAGAAGTGGAAAAAGATATGTGATAGTCACCACACCACACTTGTCGAATGTCGACATTCTCCTCCTGTGGCTATTAAACTTTTATGTTTTGTAGAAGCTCTGAGTTGGAAATCATAGTTAGCCTTGAGAGTAACACGTCAGTTCTCTCAAAATAAAATTAAAAGTAACATTTTCTGATGCCGAGGCTTCGAAAGAATACCTAGTAGAAAACCGCAGATACTTTGTACTTACACCACTACAACTGCATAAGCTTATCACTGCCATCATCAGGGCACAATGAGCATTATTTCCACTGATGCAATGCTGGTTCAGCACACTGAGGCTGTAAACGCACTCTGTTTAACAATGTTTCCTCATGTTCTTCAGGGCTGTAGTGAAAACAACATGCTGCCAGGAATCCTACAAAAATCATGAAGTGGAATTTATAGGCAACAACAAACTTAGTCTAGTGATATTATGGTCAGTCCTAGTTTAATGCCAAAAGGTAGCAGGTGGTCTAGTAATGATAGAAACAATCTCAGAGACGTATTTCTGTCATTCTGTAAAACGTTTCCATCCAAACACTCCCTGTGTTAATTCAGCAGGCTATATTTCCCTTTATTACTGGTCACTTTGAATTGAATGCAGTCACTCATTTTGTCCAAAACTGCATCCTGTCTATCGTAACTAAGAATTCTGGGTCTCTGGAGGAATACTGCTTTAGGTCCCCTTTATAATTTGAATGCAATTTGTATGAGCCCTCTCCAGCTGTTGGCCCCTGGAATCATCACAACCTTTCACCCCACAACAGTGGAAATATGCAGGGCTGCACTTTTTGATTAGCCGACTTTCATTATCGATCAATAGCAATATCTCATTAGTACATCCATTTGTTAGAAATCCTCAGATGGGAGAAGCTGGGACCAGCTGTTTGTCAAAATGTTTGCTTTAAAATGGCTAAAACAATTAGCGATTATCAGGATAGTCGTCGATTATGTTTCCACCCGTCAACTGAGTAGTCGACCAAATGTTTCAGCTCTATGGTAGAATTAGGTGCTCTATTTTTTTGTTAGAGTTGACTGATAAAGACGCAGGTGTTCGCCCTGTAGCACAGGTTACAGTGTTGATATCTCAATTAAAAGAGAGTCAACTTTGTGAGATCAGGATTAAAACCCAAGATAGCTCTCTATAACCCTTATACATTGATTTCTGCAGCCTCGTGGCAGTCCAGAAAGTAAGCTGGTAAAAAATAAACCACTTACTTCAAGGTTATAGGAACTTTCTGATGTAAAACTGCTCTAAGAAAGTAAGCGAATTGACTGAGAAGTACAGAACATGTAAGCTATTTGTTTTACCCTATCTGTGGTAACTTGTGTTTGTGAAAAACACCACATAGACTACTATTATTGGATAATAACATGTTAAAAACACCCATCAAACTATGAACTCACCGGTTCATAAAGTTGTCTGTAGAGGAAAATATCAAATTTTCTCTGTTTTGACTACAATTAAGAAAATGTGTCTTCTGCAGCAGGTCACAACAACAGCAATTAACCTTTTAAATTACATTCATTTGTAAGAAACACTTCACATGAAGATGACAGGACGAGCATTTTAAACACAGTGTTAGTTGATCAAAGAAAATGATGTGTCTGCTTTCTAATTCTTGTGCATAAAAGAAAAACAATATGACAGAAGATTCATTTCAAAAAGAGACAGGATGGTTTACTTTACCTTTGGGTACAATTACGACAGACTTTGATCAGTGTTACACAGATCAGCTCCCCAACATTTTCTTCAGATATGTTGGTGTAAGAATTACCCTTAAAGGCAGAAAGCTCTTCTGTGAGCAGCTCTGACACTCTGCTGTCTGGGTGAGCTGAGGAAGTTAAATCACACAAAGATCAAGTAACAGGACACACTATGGATAGAGAAACACACACTCTACTTACAGAATCATGACAGCTTGAGACAGATGGGGGAAGCTTTTATAAAACTATACATTCTGTGTGGCTCTGCTGCTGGGTTACAAACAAGCCTATCAATTCAATTCCTCTCAGATAATTGAATTCATAATTGCTAAGGCCATTAAGCATTGGAGGATGTTGAGGATTGGTGCTTTAAGGCAATAATACACGTGAAAACATGGACCATAACTGAAATGTCCAAGTGGAAAATTCTCCAATTAAAACTAAAGTTAAGTTGTGGAGGCTTGCTATAGATTAAAGCAGGGTGTAACAGTTTATGTTCTGTAAAGGCTACTCTACTTGCAAAGCAATTGTTCTGAAGAGCATCAGTCGGCGTCTGGCTCACTTTTTATCTCCTCCACGCGGCTGAAATGAGTGGCCAGCTCCTGCAACACGGCTGTCCTGCCCAGATGATCGTTCCTCCTCTTCTCCATGACCATGTCCTCCAAACTCTGAAACTCCAACACGTGCGAGTGTTTGTCGGACATGAATATTTTCAACCTGTAGGGCTGTTTGCCTATCCGTATCTCCCCACCCATTTTGAACTCCCTCTTGCCGAACATGCACCAGGCTGCAAAGCACTCGGAGTTTCTCCAGCTCAGCTCCCGGTCCTTTAAACCCACTTGTTCCATCGCGTTCTGCACCACCATGTCCGGACCCAGAGCCTTGAATTTGTAAAAGTCGTTCACAATCCTGCACCTCCTGCCTTGACTCGCATCTGTCAAGAAGCTGTTTTTCACTTCGGCTCTGTGCAGGTGCACCACCTGGAAGTCCCCCACGTAAACAGCCCAGTGCGGGTACTGACCGGTAGCCACAAACTCCACCAAGTCACCTGCTTTACATTTGTTTAGTAGATTCTCAGGGGAGTAAACCTCCAGGTTGGCAGACTTGGCGCTCTTCTCGTAAATGCATTCATCTCTGTTATAGACGGCGCACTCCACCTCGTCATGCTGGTCGTACTGTTTCTCTTCCTGATTCGGGTCTCTGTCTGTACTATCGACCGCACAGCCATCCTCCAGCTCGTCGTCGTCATTAGAAAATATATAAGAGACTCCGATCCGTGGACCGTCCTCCGTGTCCACGCCGTTCGGGTCCACTGTAGGAACTTCTGCATAACTTAAATGTGACAGCTTGTCCATCTGGTTCCCCATGCCGCTGTTAGCAGCCTGTGTAATACGATCTGATGCCGATAGCTGTTACCGGTCGCCAAACATCACCGACAACTGCCACAAAACCTCACAGGTCAAAACTTCCTTCGCTCTGCCGTCGCTCAGGTTTTATCCAAATTACGCATACGGAGTACATCCGTGGTGTGACTGCGGGTATAACCTGTTAGTGCCCCATCAACAAGTGGGATTGGAAGGAGAATACAAACTGGTTTCAAATTCAGCGAGGAGTTATTCCTCAGGTGTAGCCACGTAGACTCACCTGCTATTTCCCTGCTTAAAGTCTTGTCCACCGGTTGTCACATAGGAAACAATAAGAGTTAAAATCCAAATCCTCGATCATATGTGTGATAAACTAGTCCAGTGTGCTGGCGGGGGGCGCATACGCTGCGCACTGTGCAGCAGAGATCCGGCCCGGCGGTGAACTGAAGGCAGCTCAGTGCCTCGGCATCGCCACAGCGACACTCTCCAGCTCCACACAGCTTCGCTTTTAAAGCGGAAGTGCGCGTTATTTCCATCACCGCACCTTTAATATCCGCTCCTCATCTCCAGAGGAGAACTTCAGTGCTGTTTGAAAAAAATGTTGTGCCTTTGTCTTAACCGTGCTGATAATAAAGCATGCTGTTTGATGCTCTGAATTACTTTAAATAAAGCGAAATTCAAACAGGAAGAAAAAAAACATCCTTTGAGACTTGATGTTTGGGGTCAATTGATTTCCTTATTTTAGTTGATTCACCTTTTAGTTGTTTTACTTTGATTTGTTATCTTTATTGTACACTATTTTATTTAGCTGTTTTATTATCATTGTTTCAATTCATTCATTCTGTTTATTATTACATTATATTAAATATTATATTTTTTTGTAAATAACTGTGTATAGCTACCTAAGTACATAAGTAAGAAGAATAAGCAAACCTCCCTCCGACTGGGTTTAGTGGCTACACATGTGGTACACAGTGAGGAGGACTGTGAGGGGGCCAACATCTGCGGATTTTTTACTGTTTTGACCACCTGTCTGTCCTTGAATGAACTGAAGCTGTGCAGTCATTTGCTCCCTCTCCATCCCCTGGTGGGACCATAATGTCTCCATTACGTTTGTAGTGGCTTGTGGCCTGCCTAGACTCACTCTCGGTTATGAGCTATTTTCTCACCACTGTATCCCACAGGCAAGGGGAATGTGCTCAGTATGCCCCAAAAATGATAGACTCTGCAGCAGCCTCTGCGTGAAAACACCTGTCCTGGAAATGGTATGGCTGTGTGAGTGAGAGACTTTGAGAGATGCTAAAGGTGTGTGAGCATGTTTGACAGGCTGTAAAGAAAAACTCAGTTCATCTCTATGAGGAAGGGAGACAGACAGAGACACAAACTATGACAGAGCGGATTAACCTGAGTTTGGCACCAGCACTGAGCTGGGTATGCACAGAAGGGGCTGATTTCAAATGTACTGCAAAGTCATCCAGTGCAGTAGATATGATACAGGACGTGTCTCAGCAGAAAGAAACATCTCTTTCTTATCCATTCAACTAGTTTAAACAGACTGAATGGCCTCACTGGCCATAGTGGACTCACAGATTAGCATGGAGGCCTTTGGAAAGGATTCTTTAAGACTATCAGGTTAATTAAGAGCTGAGCTTTCTTAGAGCCGTACAGGATCACACTGTGTGATTTCCAAGCCTATGTAATCCAGATTGAATGGTTTCCCTGATTAGTAAAATTTAACCTGGGTCACAGGGTTCAAATCAAACTTCTTCGAAGATGGAACCAACATGACACTAGCAGTGTCAGACACTTTCCCTGTAGCACTAACATGATGTTGACATTTGGGGTTCTGAGGGATGACTATTGGATGGATGTCCCCCTCAGGAGGAATCATAACTAAAGTGTTCCCCTGACTTTTTATCATTTAAATTTGGCAGACACTTTTATACAAAGCTACTTACATTTGAGGAACAACATACAAACATCAGTAAAATAAGAGATCTACAAGCAACGATAGATACAAGTAAGAGCTATTAACGCATATGGCATCCATCGTATAAATGCCTAGGGGCAGCAAAATGAGTGAACAAATGAGGAGATAGAAGAAGAGCACAGGAAGTGCATGTTAGAGGTTAAGGTTTAGAGGTGTTAGAAGAGGAAGTGTTCTCAGAAGAGATGCGTTTTCAAGAGCTACTTGAAGTTAGAGAGGGACACTTCTGCTCCGATGGCATGTGCTTCTTCCACCATCGCGGTGTCACAAATGAGAACCACCAGGACTGAGATTGCCTTGAGTTGATGGCAGAGCCAGACAGTGTTTCTTGGAAGAGCGCAGAGGCTGAGAAGGAACATAAGCCTGTATTATAGTGTTTAGGTAGATGGGACCCAGAAGTCACTCTCTATGCAAGCATTAATGATTTGATCCTGGACCATTTATATATTTATTTATCAAGAGCCATAATCTGGTCAAAAACACTTGTCTTAACTAAATACCTGCAAAATTAATCACATTCCGGTCATCTGTACTTTTTAGCGATTAGTGCTAATTAGGAAAACATGCCTGCTAATCATCTGCATATTAACATTGTCATTGTGAACATGTACTGGAGTTAGCATTTAGTCCAAAGCAGCACTGTTCCTAAATACAGCTTCACAGAGCTTGTTCAAAAATAGTTGTTTCCATTTTGATTTCTTTGGCAGTACAGATAATCTTAGATTCAAAATGTAGTTCTCTTGGAGTCTAGGTAAGTTCAATATAAAAGTGCGCATCTATAACTAGTCTACACCAAGAGCGATGAAGTGTAGCATTGTGGACAGACCTGATAATGATGCAACACGATTCAGAGGAACATTATCTAAGATGTACTTCCAGTTTCGCTTGAAATGAGGTAAGGATGATAAAGCACCAGAATGCAGTATGAAAGAGGCCGGTATAATTTCGCCATCACCTTCAGCGACCTTTCATGAGCTTTGGCTGAAGTTCCTGCATGTACTGTGTACTTGCACAACCTTTTTTGTTCTTTTTTCTATTCCTGACTTTTCTCCCATTTCAGTCTGAAGCCCTGCAACAGTCCCCGTTTGACAACACATATGATGGAAGTCAGAGATAACAAATCTGCTGAAGATGTATTACACCTTTCCCGCGCATCAGTGCATGGCTGAGGGTGTTAGGAAAGAAATGAAACTGTTGGAGTGGTAACACGCCACACCATTTGACCGCTTCTCAGAGCTTCTTAATCTAAAGTGGCATGACCCAGTTTACACCCCTGGTGCCCTCCCAGTGACACACTGTAATTTGTGGTGCTGGGAAATTACTGGAGCAGGGAGGCCTGGGAGATATAGGCAATTAGGCGGGGCTCCACCTGTCCGGTGGGGGGAACGGCCAGGCACAGACTGACACCTTCCTTCAAAAAAATGTGGGTTTATCATAGCTTTTCAAAGGCTTCACATGCATGTTTCAGACATTGTTTTTCAGCTCAGCTTCCATTTAAATCTACAAGGATAGGTGAACAAGTGTATACTTGAGGCAGATGGACAGAGCATCCGGACCGCTGCGTCTTGCACACCATCTGCTCCACCTGGCTAGGAACACATCCACCAAGTACGGCTTAATATCATGTAATGTGATTGGCTACAATTTAGAGCCAGTAGGGGTTGGAATCAGTGATCCGAGACCACAAAATACAGATCAGGAAAAACAACACCAGGAGACATTTTCATGGAGGAAAAAGTTATTACATATTTATTTATATTTTCATATACTTTTTACATATTTATTTGTAATAATAATAATAATAATATGGATCTAGAGCAGAGGGGAGATGGAACAAGGATAGAGGAAGGTCATGTTAAAGGAATGTCACTTTCATCTTTTTTTAACCCATTTAATTACAAGAGCATCATCATTATTAACTCAATCAATTATATTCACAGTCCCATTAAACAAGCTACAACAAAGATTTCCTAAAATATAGGCTGACATAGAAAACTAGCATTTTTTTTAAAACACTGGTGCATGTATATGTGGGGGAGGATGGGGGATATCTGGGGTGACTGAGTACTGCAACTAGATAACAGACAGGCAGGATGTTGAGGGGGTGGGGGCTCTTATTGTGAAAGGTAGGCGTGTGTGAAAACACACCAAGACTAAGGTGTACAATACACACGCATACACAACACACACAACAGTTTCTACAAAGTCATCATGCTTCAACAGGACCTCATGTTAGTCTTTTTTGTTTTTGTCTATTTCAGCATCACATTATTAGAAACAACAACCACAAGTGGGTCAAAAACTGCAGAAGGCAGATTCCTTCAAAAAAAGGAAAACTCAACAAAATGGGTTATCACTCTAAATGCAATAAAAAGTACTCTATATTCTTGGAGCCACACTGAAAATTCATGACAGACATCACACACTTTTTTGGGCCATCACATCTCCGAGACGCTGGGCAAAGTATTAGCATTTGCCTCCCAAGGGTCTGTGACAGCCTTCACAGCGAAGTTGCCATCTCCTCTCTAGACTACAAACCCCATTTTTCAAAACACGGTGTAAACAGAATCCCTTGGAGAGCGTGGCGGGCCGGCCAAGAGTGCACTGCACTGCACACAAACTGGAGTTGATCCAGGGAGAGATACTGGCAGGCAACGGTGGCAACAGGCCTGGGTCAAACACACAGACCTGACTGTTCCCATTCTCTGCAATTAGGTACACTCGGTTTATCTTGGTAAATTCTTGAACTGGGGTGATGGTTGGTGGTTTGTGACCCAATGTCACTTTTATTTGTTATATACTCACTCACTCAAAATGTACAGAAATCTTTTTTTTTTTTTTTTTTAACTAAACGTAAGCAAATCAAATCAAGAGATTTGATCAAAGACCTGGTAGTTTTTGATTGGTTGACAGTATTAAGGCAGCAAAATGAAAGTAAAACAGTAAAACAGAAGATTTAAAAAAATAATAATTATACAGGAAAAGAAAATGGTCTTTGGTGTTCTCTTTTACTCTAATTAAAAACAGCAGTTTCTCTGACGATCAGTCAATCTCTAACCGGTCTCGAGTTTCCAAGAGGAAACACTCTCTTGGTAAACGTAAGCTCTAAAATCAAGGGCTCCAATGTTTCAAAAAAGAAAACATGACATGACATGACATGACTTCATCCACAGGTTTGGAGAAATCCTGCACAGTGCAAATAATAAATGCCCCCAGTATTGATTACAAGTAAAGAGGAAAGAATTTCTTTGTGGTACAAGCTGTGCAGCAGTATCATGCATCTGATCACTTAACATGAGAAAACACAGGGAGGCAGCGGGGGTCAGTATTTGGACTCCAGTCTCCAGTCCAAATACCTGGTCCTAGATTATGCATACTTTGAAATCATTCCTGAAGAAGTCTGTTCAACACTTTATTTGTGGGTCATTTTGAGAACATCTATACAATATCAACTACTTTATGCTCCGTTCTCAAGGATCACAAATCATCCATTGATTGAAGGGAATGTTTGGGGGGGGGGGGGGGGGGCTAGTCA